TATTTATTGATATCCCGATAAGCTACAAATATGTACATATACATGAGTCAAAAATAAACAAACAAGAGAGAGCCTTCACAAAGGTTGCTTAGGAGAAGTCGCAGCAGTCGGTAGAGCCCCAGAAAGAGAAGGCACCGGAGGGGGATCATTCGGAGCCTCAGTACTGGACAGAACCCTAGAAGGAGGAGGCATCAGAGGTTGATCATTTGGAGCTTCATTACGCGGTACAGCCCCAGAAGACGAAGGCAATAAATGCCTTTGGAACAAACCCACAAATCTCTGATGATCAAGTAAAACCTGACCATCAGATTCCTTCATCTGGTCCAGCTTCCTCTTCATGTTTGTAGCATAGTCATGTGCGAGACGGTGCAACTGTTTATTCTCATGCTTGAGCCCTCTAATCTCCTGTTTGAGACTCATCACTTCAGCCGCCAATGATTCAACTTGGCGGGTTCGAGCAAATAGGCGTTGGGCCATATTAGACACAGAACCTGCACACTGAACACTGAGAGCCAGAGAATCCTTAACAGCTAACTCATCAGATCGTTTGGAAAGTAGTCTGTTATCTTTGGGAGTGAGAAGGTTCCTGGCCACCACCGCAGCGGTCATATCATTCTTCATAACGGAATCCCCAACGGTAAGAGGACCAGTAGGGGAGACGAAGGATGGGCGCCATATGTTGTCTGGAGAAGGCGGGGCTGCCTCTTCAACAAGGTTCAAGTCAAAACGACGGTCGGAGGGGCCAGACATTTTCAAAGGTGTTGAAGAGAGAAGAGGTCGAACAAATCAAGATCTTAGAAGTGTAAGAATGGAGCTTCTACTGGTGGAGATTCAAGTGTGCTTTGGAACTTAATGCCAGCCCCTATAAAAATCTGCACTCGACGGAGCTTCAGAAATCGAAGAGGCGCCTGCTCAGAAATCGAAGAGGCGTTTGCTTTCTCAAAAGCTGGGCTGCTCAGAGACCACGAGGGTCGATCTCAGAAAATCGAAAGAAGAGGCGTGCTGTTCTCTTTCTCAAAAGTTGGGCTGCTCAAAGACCACGAAGGCCGATCTCAGAAATCGAAGAGGCGCTTGCTTTCTCAAAAGTTGGGCTGCTCAGAGACCACGAGGGCCGATCTCAGAAATCGAAGAGGCACCTACTTTTCCAGCCTGCCTTGGCAGCACCTGTCACACGCACACTCAGCTTTGCGGAAATTATGGGCATTCTGTCGAAGACTTCTGGTGAAGTAGAAAGCACATGAGTCTTACTGTTCAATCACCCACTTCCCACACGCAATAGTAGCTCATGTGTATCACAGATAACTTTGCCAAAGTTCTCTGCCAAAGTTGAGCACGTGAAGCTTGCAGCTTCCACTACATCGCTCTGACCAAGACGGGTAAAAGAATAGCAAAGAAACAGCACTAACAAAGTTTAGACACATAAATTTTGAAGGTCTAGCTACCCCATATTATTACCCACAAGGGTAAAGGAACAGTATCACTGCTGGATAATTGGAAAGTCCCTGTGTGTCAACCTCTGTGCTTCGTGGCAAGGTAGACTAGCAAACATGCCCAACCTTTACTCACATTCGAGAAAACACTCCCAACAAGATTGCTTGCTCCAAAATCGAAGAGGCACCGTCCTCCGAATCTCGAGAGCCAGAGAGCCAGACTCCCAACATGACTACTTTCTCAAAAATCGAAGAGAGGGTAAAGGAACAGTAGTACCATTGCTGGATAATTGGAAAGTCCCTGTGTGTCAACCTCTGTGCTTCGTGGCAAGGTAGACTAGCAAACATGCCCAACCTTTACTCACATTCGAGAAAACACTCCCAACAAGATTGCTTGCTCCAAAATCGAAGAGGCACCGCCCCCCGAATCTCGAGAGCCAGACTCCAACACATGATTACCTTCTCAAAAATTGAAGAGACACCGCTCTCCGAATCTCGAGAGAGCCAGACCCCCAGCAGGATTGCTGCTTTCTCAAAAATCGAAGAGACATCGTTCTCCGAATCTCGAGAGCCAGATCCCTGATAGGATTGCTTGTTCGAAAACCGAAGAGGCAACACTTTCCCAACTACAAGAGCCGGATCTCCTTGGATAAAGCTGTCTGTAATCTTCACACGCAACATCAGCTTTCCACATACCACATACCACTTTTTCAAAGTGCTCTGACAGGGTAAAGGAATAGCATTACTACTTGTTGTTAAGGAGACTCCTATATATGTCAACCTCCATCCCCAACGGACAGACAGACCTGCAAAAATGCTCAACCCTTCCTCATATATGAGATGGCACTCTCAACGAAGCCTTTCGAAATATTCAGCTTTCTTTCCCCCCGATAATACCTCTGCAAACAAGTTATACTAGAGCAAGAATATCTCATATCATCAGGGTTAAAAGCAAGAGTATCCCATATCATGCTTTTTCCCTGTCTTTTTCCTTTGGCCTTGTTCTTACCTGCAAGACAAGGAGAAAGAGAGCAATCAGTCAGCACTTGGAATCAAGCTTCCAGCCAGGAACTGACTGCCTGGAACTTACTTACCTGGCATTGCTCTCGAGTACTCATCTTCAACATCTTATGCTTCCAGGGAAGATACCGCATCTGCCTGAGGAACAGATAGGGCAAGTGAGAAGGATACAAGGAAGCATGTGGAGACAAGCGTAACAGCACACGTGCCGATACATCCATTACTCTGTCAAAGCAAAAGTATCCCATATCAGTAGGGTCGAACGTACTATAGATTTGATGGACTTGTTTTGACCCTCAAATTCTTCAGTCGGCCTTATACTCTGGAGGAAACCAGAAAACCCTCCAGCTCAGTTCAAGAATAAGCCTGTGGAAAGTTACTTCTTCAAAAGCAAAAGTATCCCATATCATCTCTCTTCTCATTTTTCTTCTCTTTATCCTTCATGCTGCCTGCAAGATAGGGAGAATGTGAACAATCAGCCGGAGCTCTGATTGCTTACCTTGTCTGTCACCTCTTTCAGCAAATCCCCCTAGCTCGGCAACTTGAGGGACTCCTACTACATGGTGGTTTGTATCGCGCTTGACCAAGCCTGAAACTACAAGTAAGCTTCAAGTGAAATTGATACATTACCTTGTTGCATCTCCACCAGTTACAGATACCACCCCTGGATGGAGGAAGAGTACTTCCAGAGAAGATGCCACATCTACCTGTGAGACAGATAAGGCAAGTCAAGACGATACCACATTCCGATACTTAGAAGTTTCGTGATTACGAGATCATTCTCCCACAATATTTCCTAATGTCATTTGTACTAAATCATTCACCTGTACTCACTAAAGGAAAGCTTGAACCTATGTACTTGTGTATAAACCCTTCACAATTAATGAGAACTCTCCTCTATTCCGTGGACGTAGCCAATCTGGGTGAACCACGTACATCTTGTGTTTGCTTTCCTATCTATATCCATTTATATATACTTATCCACACTAATGATCGGAGCAATCTAGCGAAGATCACAAAAAAGCGACCGTTTTCGCTACCTAGGATATATCGTGCAAGAGAACGGAGAATTAGAGAGATCTCAACCATAGAATAGAAGTTGGATAGATGAAGTGTAAGAGTGCATCCGGCGGGTTGTGTAACGTCGTCGTAGGCCACTGAAGCTCAAGGGAAAATTTTATAGGACGGCAATAAGGCCAGCGATGTTGTATGGCACAGAATGTTGGGCGGTGAAGCATCAACACGTACACAAAATGGGTGTGGCGGAGACGAGGATGCTTCGTGGGATGTGTGGGGCACACAAGAAATGATAAGATTGGAAATGAGGATATTCGAGGTAAAGTAGGAGTGGCCGAAATTGAAGGAAAGATGAGAGAAAATCGGTTCCGGTGATTTGGACATGTGCAAAGAAGGCCTACTGACGCTCCGGTTCGAAGATGTGACTACGGGACAGAGGTTCAGGGCCAAAGGGGTAGAGGAAGACCTAGGAAAACTTTGGAAGAGACTCTAAGAAAAGACTTAGAGTACTTGGTTCTAACGGAGGACATGACACAAAACCGAGCGCAATGGCGTTCTAGGATTCATATAGCCGACCCCACTTAGTGGGAAAAGGCTTTGTTGTTGTTGTTGTTGTTGTGTAAGGGATAGACGGGAGCTAATTTATATTCTATAGTATTCGAAGTCAAGTGATATAAGCATAGTATGGAACGTGTAAACTTGGGTGCCCTAGGTATGTGTTAGCAGGATTAGAAGGGAATAAAAGTGCATTCAAGCATCTCATTTGTATATTATAATCCTTGTTTTGTGCAATGAATTTGCAAAATATTATATATTATAATTCTTATTAGGCGAATGCCTACTTCGTCGGTGAACTAGCTAGTCAGTGGACTAGTATTCGTTGTACAATGTTATTCTGTTGTGTATTTCATAAACACTACTGTTGGGTAGATCAACTTTTAGATTAAATTTGCAAACCATATATGACTTGTCACTAATAATAATTCAATCATCAATAACCACGTCATATGATTTACAAAATTTGGTCTAAATAATTGCTCTCCCTAGCATTACCCTTCCATAAATCTTATATACAAGTTATAATGAACACAACCGTTTATTGTATACTACGATTTGTTACAAATAATAATTTTAATTTTTTCTAATCATGTCTAGGTTATAGATCCTTTTTCTATAGCGAAGATATGACGGACACCCTAGCTCGTCGGGTCATGACATTGCCGTAATTATATAAAAACCTATTTATGGAAAAAATGTATACATCCGTATCCTACTAGTAGACAGTATTCTTATCAAAAACTGAATCCAGTTAGTAGTACTACTCATTCTGCTATCCATTTATGAAGCAATAAACATTACCATTTCCTACTACTATTAGTAAGTGGAAATTGGAAACCTATTCCGAACCACACTAGGAGAAAGCACATTCTATATATATGCAAGGTCTCGTAGATTCTTTCACTCAAACAAATTTCAGTCAATCATTCCTTTCCTTCACTCTCGATTTGTCTTTCCTCCACTATTTCTTTAGCCATGTCTCTGCGAAACACTTCTACACTAATTTTCTTCGTGATGATGGTGCTTTCTGGTGTTTGTGTTGGTGATGTTTATAGAGTTGGCGATTCTGATGGGTGGACATCTCGAGGTCTCGTCAATTACAACAAGTGGGCTTCAACGAAAGAGTTTCATGTCGGCGATACTCTCATATTTGCTTACAATAGTCAGTTCCACAACTTGATGCAAGTTACCAAGCAAGATTTTGAATCTTGCAATACTACCGCTACGATTGCAGTTTATACCTCTGGTTCTGATACCATCACCCTTAAAAGGCCCGACCACTATTACTTCCTTTGTGGTGCTCCCGGCCATTGTCAAGCGGGACAAAAGATTGATGTCAAGGTTACCCTACCGATACCACAAAGTTCACTAGCAAGTCCAAAGCCGGCGCCTCATGGATCATTGTCCTCAGACTCTCATCCAAGCTCAACTCCAAGCAGTGCTCAGACAATTTATTTTTCGAAGCTTGGGTTGGCCGTTACCACTCTTGTGTTATGTCTTTTGAGTGTTGTATTTTAGAGAAATTCTGTAGTTCTTATATTTATTAACTTTTTATGACTAAGTTTGCTTGTGTTCTTAATGGTTTTGGTGGATAAACTTCGTAACTTTTGTTTAAAAGAATTTTTTGTTGAAGATTGAATAAATGTGTTGTTATGGATGAATTTACTCTTGTTTTCGAGTAGTTTATGAAGAAATTAAGTCACTTGATTTGAGTTATGTTTTATTAATACTGTTCGCAACTTACATAGTTTGTGAATTCCGATGATGATCATATAGAAAGAAAAATATCATACACATTTCACCTTCTTTAGTGAGCTTAAATAATTATCTCAGAGGTGTCTCATGCCAGTCTAATCCTTATCTCTCAATACCACTAATTAAAATTTTATGTTTTTATGTTACACTCATTTTATCTCTTAACTTAATTACCTCTAAATGTTTAGATGTGAGATTTTGAGGATCTCGGTGTGACTCAAGACAACTACTTGTTTGTGTAGGGACTTTAATACGTTTTTTTGCTGGACAACTACTTAACCCCAAGGTTCTAGGTTCAATTCCCCCATCCCACACGTCATTACTAAAGTTGATTTGAAACATGAGCAAGCCATCATTTAGCGGATGATATCAACTTGACAAAGGAAGCTTTGCTAGGGGCGTAAAAATGCTTAAATTGAAACCTCCTTATACCCGTTTTAAAAATCAATTAATGTTTAACTCCTCATTTTTATTTATTTATTTTTTGTACGTCATTGAAGTGATATAGGATAAAAGAGTTTTTTTTTTTAATTTGTTTCAAAGGAAATGTCATCATCTTTTACAGTAATCGTTTGTGGTGACATTTTTGGGGATATTTTACAGTTATTGTTATCAATTTTCATGTATTATTTACCAAAATAATCAAACTTTTTGTTAAGTAATTATGTTGTGAACAATCTTATCACTCAAAGATGCTTAAAATGCCACTACATTGAACTGCATTATATTTTCTGAATTATCTTGGATTTTGCAATGGCATACGATCTCTTCTTAGCCAGCACCTTCTTTAAGAAGAGAGAAGAACATGTGATTGCGGGTCGTCAAAAAGACAAATAGATTTTCTTCTAATGAAGAAGGGGGATCGTATAACTTGTAAGGATTGCAAAGTTATACTGGGAGAGAGCTTGGCTAATCAACATCGCTTGTTGGTGATGGATGTACATATCAAAAGAGAGAGAGAGAAAAGAACAAGACCTTGAAGTGCCCAAGGACTAGATGGTGGAATCTAAAATGAGAAAAACAAGCCATTTTTAAAGAGAAAGTAATAACCCAATTTGTTTGGGATAGAGAGGGGGAAGCTAGCCAAATGTGGGATTTCATGGCTAGTTGTATCCAAAAAGTAGCAAAAGGGGTATTAGGAGAGTCCAAGGGCTTTGCTCCACACCAAAAGGAATCTTGGTGGTGGAAGGAGGAGGTACAGACAAAGGTTAAGGCTAAGAAGGAATCTTAGAGTTGGAATCTAAAGGTCTTCGCCTAAGTCGGTCAAAGACAGAGTATATGGAGTGCAAGTTCAGGGCAAACAGAGGCTCAAATGAGTTAGGGGTGAGGATTGGAGATCAGGAAGTGACAAAGAGCGACCGCTTTCGCTACTTAGGATCTATCTTGTAAAAGAACGGATAGTTGGATGAAGACCTCAACCATAGAACACAAACTGGATGGATGAAGTGGAAGAGTGCATCAGGAGTTTTGTGTGACCGTCGTATGCCACTGAAGCTCAAGGGAAAATTCTATAGGATGGCAATAAGGCCGGTAATGCTTTATGGCATGGAATTTTGGGTGGTGAAGCATCAACATGTACTGGGTGTAGAGGAGATGAGAATGCTTCGTTAGATGTGTGGACACACGAGAAAGGACAAGATAAGGAATGAGGATATCCGAGGTAAAGTATGAGTAACCGAAATTGAAGGAAAGATGAGATAAAATCGGTTACGGTGGTTTGGACATGTGAAAAGAAGGCCTACTGACGCTCCGGTTAGAAGGTTCAGGGCTGAAGGGGTAGAGGAAAACCTAGGAAGACTTTGGAAGAGACTCTAAGAAAAGACTTAGAATACTTAGATCTAACGGATGAAGCGACACAGAACTAAGCACAATGATGTTCTAGGATTCATATAGCATACCCCATTTAGTGGGAAAAGCCTTTGTTGTTGTTGTTATGTGGCAATGGTTATGAGTAATCAAACTAAGTAATGGCAATGGTTCGATCATGTCAACGTTGCAGTAATGACGGTGTTCGTGCTTTCATTGGCTATCAGTAGACATAGATGTTGTTGTTAGTAGCAATGGTTTTCGAGTTTGCAGTTTCCATGGGTTGTTGTATGAGATTTATGAACTTTCATTGAATGAAAGAATGTTTATAATTACGTATATATACATCTGTCAATAATGATTATCACCTAATCAAGTGTAACTAATTACATTAAGACAAAATTAGTTACACAAAACAAACAGAAAAATATTACGCTGAGCTAAAATGTGTGTTAATACTCCCCGGCAAGCTGATAGGATGAGACCCGAGTGAAAGCTTGGATTGTAAAAGCTGGAACTGAGCTTTAGATAGAGCTTTTGTGTGAATATCAGCAATTTGGTGTTGAGTAGACACATAGTTGACATGAAGAAGATAAGACAGAACTCACTCTCAAATATAGTGATAATCTATTTCTACATGTTTGGTACGAGCATGAAAAACTGGATTCGAAGAGAAGGAGATGGCAGAGACATTATCACACCACAAAACAGGAACTTTGCATAAGGGAAAGCCAATGTCTCTAAAAATCTTACAAACCCAAGTAATCTCTGCTGCAGTATGTGTTAAGGACCGATACTAAGTTCTATAGAAGATCGAGCAACAGTGCTTTGCTTTTTAGCACTCAAACTGATAAGGTTGCCAACCAAATACACATAATATCCATTAGTTAAGCACCTGTCATAAACACATCCAGCCTAATCAACATCAGAAAATGCAGTGAGATGTAATGGACCTTTTCGAAACCATAAACCTTGATCAACAAATCCTTTGGGAAAACGGAGGATTCTTTTCACAACTTGATAATGTGTATCTCTTGGACAGTGAAGGAATTGGAAAACTTGATTAACGGCAAAGGATAAGTCAGGGCGTGGCCATGTCAAATATTGGAGAGCACCCACAATGGACCTATACTCATGAGAATTAGATAACAGAAAACCAAAATAATCTAATTTCTGACTGCCAAGAGGTGTGGAACATGGTTTGTAGTCTTCCATCTTGGTCTTGAGGAGTAAATCAAGTGCATATTTCCCTTGGGAAAGGAAAATGCCCTCTGAAGACCTGTGAACTTCCAGTCCTAAGAAATAATGAAGAGGACCTAAGTCCTTGACTGCAAAATAGTTTGCGAAGTTTAGTAATAAAATCTTGCAGACAGATGAATTGGGACCAGTAACCAAGATATCATCTACATACACCAAGACAATCACTAGTGATGGAGAAAATGTGACAAACAAGGAGCAATCTAACTGTGAATTTGAGAATTCAAGAGATAACAAAGCTTGAAACAATTTGTCATATAGTGATTTTTGTAACTTGCAAACATGAAAAGGCTTAGAAAAGTCAATAAAACTTGGAGGTTGCTGCATGAATACCTCCTCTTTGAGAGAACCATGAAGAAAAGCATTACTTATGTCCGGTTGGTTTAAAAACCAGTCAAACTGAACAACCAATGTTAATAAGATCTGAATAGTCATTGGCTTTGCAACAAGGCTAAAAGTTTCCTTAAAGTCCACACCTTTTTGTTGATGAAAGCCTTTGGCTACTAAACAAGCCTTGTATCTGTCAACGGAGCCATCAGGTTTTCTCTTTATCCGAAACACCCATTTACAACCAATTAAATTTTGATTGGGAGAAAAGGGATCAAAAGTCCATGTACCAGTGGACTGTAAGGCCTGAAATTCCTCTAACATAACTTGTCTCCAGTGGTTATGCTTAGCAGCTTGTAAATATGTGGTAGGAACAAATTGAAGATGATCAATATGATGTTTAGTTGCTGTCAAGGCCTTAGGTTTGAAAATTCCATCTTTGGAACAAGTTATCATTGGGTGAGTATTGGTAGGAGGTGGAGGGGGAATTGGAGAAATAGAAGATTGAATGGATGGAGAATCGGGATGAGAGGTAAAAGGTGAAGATATAGTACTAGCATTTTGTAATGGTGAAATTGATATAATATAAGGTGCAATGGTGAGAGATGGGAAGTAGTTGGAAATGGTAAAACAAATAAGGAATCTGGAGTGGAAAAGGAAGATTGATAGGGGGGTTGAAGTTGCACCTGATGAAAAGGAAAATGAGTCTCATTAAACAATACATGCCTGGAGATGTATATCTAAGATGTTTGCATATCTAAACATCGATAACCCTTGTGCTGCAAACTGTAGCCAAGGAAGGCACATGGTTTACTTTTACCATCAAGCTTAGATAAGACATAAGGTTTTAGCCAGGGATAGCAACTACACCTAAAAACCTTTAACCTCGAATAATCTGGAGGTTTATTAAATAGAAGTTCCCATGGAGATTTATCTAAACTAGAAATAGGTAATTTGTTGACTAGATAAAATGCAGTGGAGAAAGCCTCAACCCAAAATTTATGAGGAACTTTAGAGGCAGCAAGCAATGTTCTAGTGGTCTCAGTTAAATACCTATATTTCCTTTCAACACACCCATTTTGCTCCGGTGTATGAGAGCAGCTAAATTGATGTAGAATACCATGTTGAAGAATAAATGAATTAAACTGAGAACTTATGAACTCTCCCCCAGAATCAGAATGTAGAATTTTTATTTGATTTCCAGTCAACTTCTCAACATAGGATTTAAAGTATACAAATATGGAGAAGACCTCAGACTTTGACTTCAAAGGAAAAAACCAATTTTATTTTGTAAACTCATCAACAAACAAGACATAGAATCGATATCCACTAACAAAAGAGATGGGAGCAGGGCCCCAAACATCACAATGGACAAGTTTGAGACTATGAGTAGTACTACTAGTGCTTACAGAGAATGGCAATTTGTGATTTTTTCCATTTGCACAATCCTGACAAAAGAACTTTACAAACTGTTTACCAGTATAAGCAAGTTTATTTCTACATAAGATCTTCTTGAAAATTGCAGAAGAGGGATGACCAAATCTCTTATACCAAAGTTGTAATGATGTTGGAGTACCAACATTAGCATAGGAAGATGTAGATACTGGATCACTGATAGTAACATGGGAAGTGCCTTGTACTGGATAAAAACCAGAGCTATCTGGCCCTGAAAATGCATATTCCCCGTAGAACGATCCTTGATTGTGGAACCATCAGAATCAAGGATTAATTTGCAGTAATTATCCTTTAAAAATTGATAGGCAAAAAGAAGATTAAACTTCATTTGAGGAACATGAAGAACATTATTCAACTTAAATGCAGCAACTGAAGTTTTAAGAACAGAAGTACCAGTGTGGTGAATAGGCATACCTTGACCATCACAGATATAAACCTTGTCTTCACCATTATAAGCCATAGGAGAATGAATGGTAGAGATATCATTCGTGATATGGGAGGTAGCGCCAGAGTCCAAAATCCAAGTGGGAGAAGAAGACTTAGCAGTGGTATGAGCACACATTGCTGCCAATTTTGCCAGTGGAGTTTTTCCAGCAAATGCATGATTCATGCGGTCAAAGCAATCAATAGCTTCATGGTCCAGAGAGTGATAGATTTGACAGGGAACTCAACCACCAGAGTGCTGGCGATAACCTCCTGAAGAACGGTTTTGATTGTAAGAGTTGCCTCGATAATTGTTGAAATTGCGATTGTTGCCACGATTGTTACTACAGTAATTTTTGGAGATAGAATACGGTGCAGCAAAGGCTTGTGGAAAAGCATTGAATTGTGGCGTTGGAAGAAGAGGAGCATGAGAGTGCTGAGACTAAGCAACAAAGGCTTGAAAAGGTTCTATAATTGCTGCAACAACAAATTTCTTCTTTCGATTCATAAAAAGTTCTTTGTTGATCAACAGGCCATGAAGTTCATCAAGAGATGTGGAGGAAATTCGCAGCATGATAGAGTCAATAAATGACTCGTACTTGTCAGAGAGACCATTGAGTGTAACTACAATGATATCATGATCGGAAATTGGCATGCCGGCAACCATTATAACGTCTGAGATACTCTTAATTTGCTGAAGGTATTCAGATATTGCAAGATCACCTTTCTTAACCGAGTGAAGATGAGTGCGGAGCTGGTAAATGTGTGCAACTGAAACTCCACCAAAACGTTGTTCAAGATTCAACCAAAGTTTTCAAGAAAAGGAGACTCCAACGATGAAAGGTATGATTTCTTCAGAAATAGTCGAATTCAATCAGATGAGGATGTTTTGATCCTTCTCATACCAAGCTTCAAAAGCTGGATTCGGAACACCAGTGCTTTGGCAAAGGATATCAAGCATATATGGCGGTGGACATGCTTCAGTGCCATCAAGAATTCCAATAAGCTTGTACCGGCGAAAAATTGGAGCAAAAAGCATCTTCCAGATGAGATAATTATCTCGTTTAAGCTTTGTTCGAACCATACAACTGATATTCTAGACTGTAATAGAAGAATTGATGAAATTGGGGGATTAGGGTTAGGGTTCATCAGAGAAGAATTGGGGGCGAGAATGTCAGGATTCATCTAAGACGAAGTTGAAGATGTCATCGGAGAAGCAGAGATCAAAGATCAAGAAGAACAGAGATTAGAGAGCAAGAATTGAAAGAAAATCGATCAAGATTTGTAGGTCGGTGAAGTTACGAATCATAGGATGTTGGTGAGGATCGCGAAGAGGCGGTTGATACCATATGACATTTATGAACTGTTATGTTTTCATTGAATGAAAGAATGTTTACAATTGAGTATATATACATCTGTAAATAATGATTAGCACCTAATCAAGTGTAACTAATTACATTAAGACAAAATTAGTTACACAAAACAAACAGAAAACTATTATGCTGAGTTGGAATGTGTGTTAATATGTTGCACGTGTCTGTTTAATCCCTGAAAAAGAGTTGATTTTAGCTTTCCGGAGTTGAATAATTAAGCACTGTATCAGTTTAAGAATTGAGGATAATGCTTTCTTCTTGTTCTTGTTGTTATATGCAGGGCTTCTTGAATTGTTCATTTCTGTTTATCACTAAAAGAGAGTGGCAAAGACACCTGCTTGAGAAATGATGTCGTCTGATAGGGAAGATAGAAGGTTCAATTCAGAGTGTAAAAGAGCGGATTCTGTAAAAGAGAAGTCGATATTGGAAGTTATGGAGAAGCTCTCACTCTCAGATGCAAAAATGGAGCCACTGCATCCAAACATTGATTTCCAGATTACACATGCCGATGGGAGATTATGCTTTAGGAACAATGGCGAAGTGTTATTGATGCTTATTGGAGGAGACCTTCACTGTTTCGGTAGTATCATCAAAATATCAAAGCATGAACTAGTTTCCCTAGAACTTGTAAACAAAGAATTGAAAAATCTTGGGATTTCTCGATATCAATATTGCTCTGTCGATTCTTATGACGAGAGCCTCTTCTTACTCAACGAGACCAAGGCAGTTTCTTACTAAGAAAAAGAGCAGGTACTTGCTCTTTGCCTACGAATAGGACTTCATGTCGAATTCCACTGCGTTCTTCATGTTTTTTCTGTTTTCCTGTTTTGTTTACGTGATTGTCTACCTGCTTTTGTTTTCTTTTGTTGCACATCATTCAAAAGCTGATTTAATTTTTGAATTTTGCATGCAAATTTTAATCAGAAATTCTGGTGTATTTTGTTGAGTAGTTCTATGACTGCCGTAAACTTTGAATGAAACTATGCGTGAATCTGGTTACAAATTTCGATTGCCGGTGGCGCTTGAAAGTTGCACCTGTTTCTGTGAAATTATCTACCAAGTGCTCGTCATTTTCTTGTTTATTTTCATAGTAAATTTCCGTGAGGTCAACGATTAGCAGTATTGCAGATTGGCAAAGTTTGGTATTTGTAGGTGATTTGCGTCCGAAACCTAAATCAATGTACTAAATTTCTGTTGGTCAATAGTCAGTACGATTATCACTTTGATGTCTATAGCTTGATCCATATTGAAATTTGTACGATTATTAGATAGTATGTGACTGTTGACATAATGTTGTATTGCATAAGCATAAACACTCGCGCAGTCAAGAAAAACATGATGCATGAGTTGTGTGAAGTGTTGAGTTGTGAATATATTCAGAAGACATAGAAGGCTTTGGATATATAATCTGAAAATTTGTATATGTTCGCTAGACGTTGGAGGAAAGACTTGAATAAATTTGGGTGTTGAGAAAAGGCCTATATGACAAGTGAAAATTGAGAATTAAATTGAAATTTGTGATCAAGGGATAGATGGGTGCTAACTCATATCCTATAGTATTCAAAGTTAAGTGGTATAAGTATGGTATAAGACGTGCAAGCCAACTTGGGTGCCCTAGGTAAGTGTTAGCGAAATTAGAAGGGAGTAAGAATACATTCATGCATCTCATTTGTATAATTATAATGAATTTGTGAGATTATATATTTTAATTCTTATTAGGTGAATGCCTACTTCATCGGTGGACTCAAGCGTTTATTATACTACGATTTGTAACAAATAAATCCATTTAATTTTTTCTAATCTTGTCTTGGTTGTAGATCCATTTTCTATAGCGAAGCCCTTAACTCGTTAATAGTAATTACTAGCAAGACTACCCGCGCGATGCTGCGGTGCTACGTCTTGCTCCTGTACAACCTTATCTACAAAAGGAACAATGAGCAGCGTTGAACTTAATTCCATCATCAATGCCTTGAACTTGTAGGATCAAAATTAATATATATACTAACATAGACCCTAAAATTTCTATCATAGCGAAAAATATTAACATTGGGAAAAGGCAAAGAGAGGAATTCTCAAAAGAAAACTGAGAGTATGGATCATATTGCATGGAAATCACAAACAGCAACCACATCAAAAATGAAGAATAACAATTGAAAAGGAAAATAATAATCGAACCATAACTGAAATAGCTATCTGGCTTTGAATATTACAATTATGAAGCAACTCTTATAGGATGAGTGAGTAGAACTTACAACGTAGTTAGGAGTTACAATGCAGTTAGGAGTGTTCCATCTCGCTATCAATTTGCTAAACCAAGATCATCTATACCAAATGACAACATTTTAATCCTTCAAACTGCTCCTGGAAAAAAAAGTAAATTAAATGCGGGAATCTATACCTTAAGACAACGGAAAAAGTAGATTAAAGCTGAAAAGTATCAAACTTTACAACTTTCTCCAAAAGCATATATCACTACAAAAGTATCAATGTTTCGCATTAATCATAAACTATGCAAAATTATTTCATATTTTCCAATGAATTTGAAACCCTGAAATTGTCATATTTGGACATTCTTTACTCGAAATTTATTCAAGAAGCACTTGTCAAATGTTCGACACAATTTAGGAATTCAAACAAAATCCACAGTGCAATGATCACAATCGTCGAGACCAACATTTGAAAAATGTAGATAAATTCACTAATAAGGCGTATCATAAAAAATCCATTGAGATTGAGATTACAGTAAATTGAAAACATTCTTATTAAAATAGCGTAAGTCACAAAACGCACAATCAAAACAACAACAACATAGATTACTTTAAACTTGCAGAGACTCCAAAGGAATACTGAACTCAGCTACATCATTAAAAAAAATTGAATAATGGTAAAAAAAAAAGGATCCATCAGGAAAAAAATTCTGACATGAAATTTAATCAACAGATGAAATTCTTAAGTTACCCAATTAGACCAACCAAGAAGAACCAGTCGTTAATCAAGAATTCACCAAATAAAACAATGCAAGAATTGACCAAATAAATGATGAAAAAGTGGAAGCTAAATGCATCCCTTTGTACTTCTTTTTATCTCCTCATCTTCCTATTTGTATAGTCCAAAAAGCTGAAATCAGAATTGCTTCAAATAATTTGCCAGATTTTACAATTCGAATGTGCTCACAGATACTAAGATCATAATTTAACCATTCTATATCACTGCGTATCATTTCTTTGTCAGTTTTTTTATTTTTATTTTTTATAAATCAAATCTAAAAACCAATCTCAATGGAAAAAATAAAAAACAACACTTCTTATCTCTATACGTAATTTAATCCGTACAGTCCAACGACTAATCAAATGATCAAACAAAGCAAAAAAACTAAACTGATCACAGAATTTAATCAGCAGAGCAAAGTCAGTGACAGTGAATTTTTAAATCACATGTGCTCAAAGATAACTAATGACCTTGGTATTTGCAAATTGCGGATAAACTGATCTGGAAACAGAAGTTGTAGTATTAGTTTTGTAACCTGCAAGTGAACAACAATCTGTCAGGCCAATACTATTATGTTTTTGCATTAATCCACATGAATAAGACAGACTGCAATGCATAGGTTTAACAAATCAAACATACATCTAACCCACCTGAGATAAAACTCAAACATGTAAAAACAATTTGTGTCTTTCAAGGTAGCCAATATATGGATTTATCCATTGACATTGAGTTTAAGACGGAAGAGATTTTTGAACTGTGAAAAAGGAATAACACCAATTGATATGACAACCAACACAATCAGAAAAAACTCTGTGAGAATGTCAATTTATAAATCACATGTACTCACAGATAAATAACGATCTTGGTATTTGTGAATTAAGGATAAGCTGATTTGGAATCACAATTTGTAACATTAGTCTTCAGACCTGTAAGTGAGCAACAATTTGTCAGAGCAATACCATTTTGTTTTTCCACTAATCCACATGAATAAGACAAATGCAGATACACAGGTTTAACAAATCAAACAGACATCTAACCCATATGAGATAAAACCCAAACATGTCAAAAAAATTTGTGCCTTTCAACGCAGTCAACACATGGATTTGTTCTTTGACATTTAGTTTAATGAACCATTGCTCTTTACCACATGGCTGCAATTTTTATATACAAACATTAGTCTTTTGACACACATTTTCAAGATTGTCTGCACGTTCAGCAAAAGCACATAGGCTTCCAAAATTCCAACGACCCTTTAATTTATTCTCAAAAATTCCAAATCCATTTTAATCCATACTGGAAAAAAGCATAACCATAAAAAACGCACCCAAATAATTTTAAAACAACTGCACTCACACAATTTATACCACCAAGAACATAAAAAAAAAAATTAAATCACAATCTAAACTAATGTTTCCTCTCCTCCTCTCTGTGTTTGTAACCCCAGCATAAAACCCAGAAAAAACAAACCTTCACACAACCTCAACAACTCCTCCCATATTTTCCCCAAAAACTACGACTCCATTTAAATCCAATAATTATCAATCCATGTCCGAACCGAAAAAAAATAGAAGCGCAAAAAACATACCCAAAAAATTACAGCAGCATTGCATATGCCATCCGAGATTTGCCAACCGAAGAACGAAAATGCAAAATTCTCTTTTAACAGGGAAAACCCAAGAGAGCACCACAACTGGCAATAAAAGGAAACGATTAAGGTTTCATTGAAACAAAGGAAAAATAAAAAATAAAAACCGAAAGAAAATGATTATAAAATATACCTTGGCTGAATCACACTTGTTCCACAGTGGGGTGGAAAGACGCCACCCCTGAAAAGGGCTGGAAATCGGCCAAAATCATAGCCACAACCCAGAAATCCAAAACGGAAAAAAGGGGCAAACATCAGGAATTCATTACCCTGGATCAGAGATGTCGAAACCCTCGGAACGCAAAAAAACCCCAAGTGTAAATAGACGCATAACGGCCCGGCAACCACAAAGTCCCTTAAACCACAAAAATCAGCAAACCTTTCTGCGAAACAAAGAACGGAGACCACATAGAAGTAGAGGATTGGAAGAAAGAACGGGCAAAACGAAAAGACCAAAGCCGAAATCAGGAAAGGCAACGAAGGAACAAAACCCTAACTCGTTAAGAAGACTCTCGAAGTCGAGAGAATAAGGATGACCGACACGTGGAAAACAGGGGCAAAAACGTCTCTCCGGCGCATGAAGCAAGCGAGACAAACGGAAAGAAAACAGAGAAGCAAGGGCATTTCCGTCCGGACATTATTAATGAATAGTGCCGTTTCCAACCCAGTTTTAGTATATATAATTTGCGAGCCGGGCCTAATTAACATTGCCGCAATTATATAAAAACCTATTTTATGAGAAAAATGTATACTTCCGTATCCTACTAGTAGATTGTTTTATTATCAAAAACTGAATCCGGTTAGTAGTACTACTCATTTTATGAAACAATGTGTATATATTATTTCCTACTACTAATACTAAGTGGAATTTGGAAACCTATTCCGAACCGGACTAGGAGAAAGCAAGTTGATCTATATATATGCAAGGTCGCGTCGAGTCTTTCACTCAAACAAATTTCAGTCAATCACTCTCGATTTGTCCTACCTTTTCTATTTCTTTAGCCATGGCTCTGCGAAATACTGCTGCACTAATTTTCTTCGTGATGATGGTGCTTTCTGGTGTTTGTTTAGGTGATGTTTATAGAGTTGGCGATTCTGATGGGTGGACATCTCGAGGTCTCGTTGATTACAACAAGTGGGCTTCAACAAAAGAGTTTCATGTCGGCGATACTCTTATATTCGCTTACAATAGTCAATACCACAACTTGATGCAAGTTACCAAGCAAGATTTTGAATCTTGCAATACTACCGCTGCGATCACAGTTTATACCTCTGGTTCCGATACCATCACCCTTAGAAGGCCCGACCACTATTACTTTCTTTGTGGTGCTCCAGGCCACTGTCAAGCGGGACAAAAGGTTGATATCAAGGTTACACTTCCTATACCGCAGAGTTCGCTGGCAAGTCCTAACCCGGCACCTCAGGAATCTTTGCCTTCAGATTCTCATCCAAACTCAAATCCAAGCAGTGCCCCGACTATTTATTTTTCGAAGCTTGGGTTGGCCGTTACCACTCTTGTGCTATGTCTTTTGAGTGTTGTATTTTAGAGACATTTTGTTGTTCTTTTATTTTTTATAACGAAGATTGCTTTGTTGTTTATGATTTGGGTGGATAAACATTGTAAATTTTTTTTTTTTTAAGATTAAATAAATGTGTTGTTATGGATGAATAATTACTCGTTTCCGAGTAATTATATTATGAAAGGTTTGTCTTGTGCTTTCCGAAAATCGTGTCGATCCATGGCATAAGGCTTGTGAAGATTATATGACACTCCATATATGATATATGAATTTGCTCTTTAGATGGAATAGAAGTCTCAAAGTTTTAATATTTTATATGATAAGAAGAAATTAAGTAGTGTGATTTTAGTTATATTGTATAGATATTGTTCTCAACTTATACAATTTGTGAAATTCAATTATGATCATTTAGAAAGAAAAAATTTATACACATTTGACCTTGTTTTAGTGAGCTTACATAATGATTTCTAACAATCGTGTCGATCCACAGCATAAGGCTTGTCATTGTCAATATTATGTATGACAATCCATATATGAATTTGCTCTTTAGGAGGAATAGAAGTCTCAAAGTTTTAATATTTTATGTGATAAGAAGAAATTAAGTAGCGTGATTTTAGTTATGTTTTATTGATATTGTTTGTAGCTTTTACATAGTTCGTGTAATTCAATTATTAACGTAGAAAGAAAAAATTATACACATCTAAACCGTAGACTTATTAGGCACTACGATAGGAAAGGGTTGTTCAGTGTGAAAAGCGCATATCATAATGCCAGGGACTGGGTTCAATCTCGCAGGGATGCGCCATCTTCGTTCGCTGTCTCCAATCCTTTTGGGGCGTTGTGGAAAAAACTATGGGCTGCTTGTGCTCCACCTAAGGTAAAGATCGGGCTGTGGAAAATTGCCCTTGACATCATTCCTACTCATGATAACCTTAGGAGAGGCGAGTCGAGAGTCGAGACCGAACCGTACTGTGTTTTGTGCGGTTCTTACGGTGAGCAACGACAAGAAAAGCCTATAGAATCATGAGGCACACCTCGAATGTATGCGAATTGAGGTCCGCAGCCCAACTCGCCAGGCAATCTAGGATAGATGAGGATCGAGAAGGGGTGGGTGGGTAACCCATTGGAGATGCGGGCCACATGCATTTTGCGAAAGAACAGCTTCTCATAAGGAGAAAGCTTATTTCTGTCAGATATTTGCAAAAAATCTATCAGAAATTCATGTAGTGACAGATAAAATAACCGACAACATTGCTTGCGTCATGAAAAGTTTTTTGATGTCGGACATCCCATTTTAGAAATTAATTAAGGTGTAAATCCTAAATTTTTTATTTTTTATTTTTTGATACTTCAATGAAGTGAGGTAGGATAAAAGGAATGAGGATTCACTTCGTATCCTCCTTGTGAGGATTTGGGAATCCTCTAATCGTATCCATTTATTATACATCATAGATCAAAAATTATTTTAAATATTTTTACTTTAAATTAAATATAAATAATATCTTATGAAAATTGGTCGTACAATATACGATTAACGACACGATTAAGATCCTTAAAAGAGTTATCTTTCAATTGTGCCAAAGGAAACATAATCCTATTTTACAGTAATCGTTTCTGGTGACTTTTTCTGAGGATAAAGTAGCGGCGGAAGTTGAACCCCAAAAAGAGTTCAAAATTAGGGTTTAAAGAGATAGGAGTCGAACTATCAGGACTAGAGCTTTGCAGTGATACCCATTGGGAGGAGGCTCTGAGTTCTGCATTCGCCATCGAGGTTCAATTTCCAAAGCAGGACTCTGGGTAAGTAAATTTTGATCTAACCATCACCCAAAAGAAACGAATTCGAATTTGAAATTCTGTCGAAATTTCCTTTTACTCCCTTTCGTTTTCCCTTTATGCTTTCAAATTTCCTCTTCTGGGTCGTCGTTTTTATGATTTGTGCATAGAAGAAATCAGTTATTTTGGGTTTGTTTGTTTGTTTGTTTGGTTTACCAATTTAGTTCTGTGTTTGGTTACTTGGAAAATGGAGGGAAAATCGAGAGAAAGATGATGACTTTTGGAACTTTGGGTTGGGTTTTATAATCTTGTCTTCTTTCAGGTTCTGAAATGTGAAACAAACGAACATTTGTTGTTGGGTATATTTGTTTGAAGAAAGTTAATTATTGTTGCAAGAGAATTCCGATTCGATAAGAGATAATCTCCGTCGGATACCGGTATAGGGGTTTGAGGCTGTGTGGAAATTGATAACAGTGGTAATGCTACTGTAGGATCACCTTTTTCGAGTCTCTGGTTTTCGTGTGGTGTTGTACCTTTCTGTTTAATTGAAGGAGAGTTGATGTTATCTTTTTGAAGTTGAATAATAAGCATTGTAGATGTCAGTTTAAGGACTGTGAGTAATGCTTTCTTCTTGTTCTTATATGCAGGGGTTTTGATCGAAGAGATAAGTGTAAGGGTGGCGATAACAAGTTGAACTGAGCTACTTTCGAAATATTAACAGAAACCATTTTGGTCCATCTCTGTTTATCAATAATTAAGCTTCTGAAGTTGTTTGTTTTACACCAGAAACATCCAATAGGAAATTCAGTAGTTCTTTGCAATGAATTCTGTTTTCTCATCTCACTCTCTTTTCGTTTCCTTGCCTAGATGTCAGTTCCTGCCTTGTATTCAAACACAACCTCAACATGTGGTCATAAACCGTGTTTATCGCCGGAATCATTGTGTCCCACATCTTTCTCTTTCATTTCCTTTTATTGCACATCAGTCTTTGCATACTCGCCAAACACCTTTTGGTGCCACGGCTCCATCAAATGAAGGCGTAGTGTCTGTAATCAACTTTGACGATTTTGCTGAGAAAGACTGGTCCTTTCTTGATTCAGGTGATTTCAGTTCCAACCAAGATTATAACCTTAAGATTGATCGCATTATATCCGCAGGAGAGATTGAAGAAGCTTCAAGGGTTATGGTTTCAATTGGTTCTGAAGGATTTGTGGATCGGTTGGTTGAATCATCACCCTGCAGTCTCCTGCTTGTTGTCCATGATTCACTTTTTGTTTTAGCTGGCATTAAAGAAAAATATGACAAGGTTAAGTGTTGGCAAGGAGAATTGATATATGTACCTGATAAGTGGGCGCCCTTAGATGTTGTGTTCCTTTATTGCCTTCCAGCCGTGCCCTTGAAGCTTGACGAAGTGTTTAAAACACTTGCAAGGTGTTTTACACAAGGTGATTTTCATAATATCATCCATTTTTCTTTTCATTCATGCTTGATATATACTACTGCTTCTCAGCCTTAATGAAATGTCATTAATTGGTATACACTCGTCCTAACATTTCATTCAGGACTCACCCAAAGTTATACGTATTTGCCTGTATGAATCCATAAATTGAAAGTTTCGTGTTAAAATTAGTAAGGAGAAATTTTTTTGGAGAGTGATAAATCTACCATTAGCTGTTGCATTCTTTCAATGTATCACTCTTGAGTCTGAGTTGTGGGTGTTCCTCGTATAGGTGCGAGACTTGTTATTAGCCATCCCCAAGGAAGAGAAGTTTTGGAGCAGCAACGACGACAGTATCCAGATGTTGTAACTTCTGACTTGCCTGAGAAGAGTACTTTAGAGGAAGCGGCAACCGAACATTCTTTCGAATTAACCGAATATGTTGATGAACCTTGTTTTTATCTTGCTGTATTAAAGTTTGTTGGGGCAAGAAACTGATGGTTGATTTAAACTTTGACAATTTCATGTGCAAGAAACAGTGGATTCAATTGAAAATTTATAGATTCACACATCGTTTTATTTTTGAAGACTGGTTCTTTTGCCCTACTCCCTGCCTTATGTTTCTTTTCGGCCATTTAACCCTTGTGCCGTGCTGAGCAAGTTAGGTAGCTTTCGCTTGCCTCTGTTCAAAAATTGGACTCTCGTTGAAGGTCATTGAACTTACTGAACTTCGAACTTGGAATGAGCAAGGAGGAATTAACAATACTTTTCATCGTTTGAGTTGTTTGCGGGACTGGTTGCTCAAAAACTTTGGTTTCTAATCCAACCCAATGAGAAAAAATGGTATCACGTCTTATGGGCTCGTTGGGACTCATTCTGGTCTAGTTAATAACCGATTAGAAGTAGAAGGTGCTCCGACACGATCCTTCCGAACGAAAAACAAGGGGTTGCAATTAGTTTGATAATGATCGAGTGATGGTGAAGAAGTCCTTGACCAACAACCAATAGAGGAAGATTTATTCAGTCACAGATGGTAAACAAAATTTCAAGCCATCAAAATTTGATGGAAAACTCAAAAGATTTGCACTCAAGACATAACACATAAATTCCTCATCATATAAGCTCCATTATTTTCATCATCCCAGAAAATTCTTTTAATAAAATGCTTTAGGAGGTTCAAAATCCTAAAACAGGCTCTAAAATACAAGAGTAAACTTCCATACCAACAAATTCTTCATTAATTAAAGAACAACGAAAAAGAAAACTCTTCAAACATTGTAGCACTCTCCCAACCTTTTTCTCTCTACTATAGGAAAAACAAAAACCAACGGGGCAAATCGATAAACGCAAAACTATTGAGCTAAAAATTGGAATTTTTCAAAGGAAGATTATTGAGTACCAAGTACCGCAAACCTTCATCTCGATATAAGAAGATAGGGACTGCATATTCCTCAACAGCCGCCTCACACCTTCTTACCTCAGAAGAATTGAAACCTTATGCCATTACTTGCTGCAAACAGGTTGTATTCTTCAATGGTAGCCTCCTTCTTGTAACATGCCTGATCATTCTCAACATGATCCGAACATTTTAAAGGAGAATCCGTAACAGTCTGTTCTTTCGAAGGCATATATCCCGGTGGATTAGCAACAGGGCCACCATAATGGAATAAGGAAAAGCCATCATTGTTCGTATGCAATTTTCCAGAATTATCATCGTTCGCTCTTTCTCCAGTTGGTGTTGCTTGCCTTGAATGAGCTCCAGATGGATCCACACTCTCTGTACTAGCTTCATTAGGATAGTCTTGCATACACGGGGTAGATATCTGAGTTTGCTCCTCTCTGTTGATGACTGGCTGATAAATTGGAACGGAGCCAGGGGTAGTAAACAAGGGAGGTATGTGCTGCACAGGATACTGCATGCAGAAGCCTGAATTTCCATTTATACCATACCCAAGAGGACCAGCATATAAGTAATGGTTCGGAAATGTTAGCATTCCATTTGCTGGAGCAGCAGGCCATGAAACTGGACTTTGGTGATAGTAACCCATTGTTGAAGGACCTTGAAACACAGGAAACTGTACATTTTGGTTATGCATCAGAGGAAGCATGCCATGATGCTGTGAACCCACATTAACAGCAGACAAACCACTATCAAAACTCTGAGCAATTTTTGTTGATGGATTCCCAAAAATGTTACTCCCTGCTCCACTCAGAGAAGGACCAATCGGTGTCCTGCTTTCGATAGACTCTCCTTTTGCACTCTGATTATTCTCCATACCAACTTCATGGTCTCGGAAACCATTTGGAATGAATATAGAAGTTTCCCTTCCTCCTGATTGCTGGCTGGCATCTTCTGAATCTGATGTGGATGAAGATTCCTGATGTCCATGATGTGACGAGGTTGTATTGCTATCTCCCTCACTTAGGCATGACGAGCAGTTATCAGAATTAGAAGTACTGCTGACAGTGGGGTCAGAAGTTCCATTTGATGTAGAGTCAATGGAATTAAGTACAGAACCGGTAGGGCATAATCCAATCTCCTCATAAGTGGCTTTTGTTGAGTTGCAAGAATCCTGTGCTCCTGCATGAAATCCACTCTGACAGTTGACATCCATTCCTGTGCTGGATTTTCTTGATTCCTTCAAGTTATTATCCTCATCAATCTCACCTGCATCTACCCCATCTTCACCTGCACATATATCACCAGGTGACTTCACGATTTTATCTTCATGCTTGAAAGCAAATGACCTCAAGGTAACATCGGAGTCTGAGTTACTTCTAGGATACATGGGCTCCCAAATTTTCTTGGGATGAACCAAATCTCTACTAGGATTGTCCCCATAATTGACTTTGCTTTTGGGTCTTACACAACTATCACGCAAGTCTCCTACTTGGTTATACCTGTTACCACGATAGAATTGCTTGGACATATCTAATGCAGATTCTGACTTACTTGCAGTTTTAGTATCCCATCCCAATCTGGCAGCAGAAACATGGGGTTCTACCTTTGCTCTATATTCAGTGTTTTTGTTACAGCTGCAAGAATTGAAGTCGTATCTGTCACTCATCCTGTTACTTGGGGAGAGAAACTTCTCAGTAAACTTAGGACCACTATGTCGACCACTGGACTTCGGGCCATTCACTCTTAATTGCCTATTTGATCCATTGATGACCCTTGATGGAGTCTCAAAATTGTCAGCATTACATCTCGACTCAGATCTACTAACCACAGAAGCACTGTCTGAAACAGTGGCATATCTGTGTCGGTCAGACCACTTCAAAGATGCATCTAGTTGAGCTTCTCTCCTATATTTTAATCTCCGTCGTGAAAACTTTGATTGCTCAACTGTAAAAGAACCAGTATCACCTCTTCCATTGGTGATTTCACCATCAGGACTTTCATAACAGTGGTCTTCACTTTTTAAAATGATAAAATCTTTTTGGAACTGTTCATCACGTGTCTCAGGAGATCCAGGCCTAGATAAAATCTGATCATCAGCTTCAATAACTGAATCCTTGCAGCTAATGGAACTATTAGGCTCCTCATCAGCATGTAGTGATGATTCTTCCTTGGAGACAACATCAAGAGCAGGAGTTTCATTTACTTCAGAACATTCCATATCTTTGTCTTTTTCTTTCCCTTTCAACCTCTCCTTTCTTCGCAATTTTTTCTCTCTTTCTTTTGTTCTTCTCCTCTCTTTGCGCTCTTCTTCTTCACGCTTTTCTTTTTCTTCCTCTTCTAGAAGCTTCATCTGTAGAGAAAAGGTGCAAAGTCATCAGAAGTGTTTCTCCTAAAACGTAAAATGGCTCCTCATTTTTCTACCTAGTATGTTATCTTTGAATATATAACAAGATTTTTACGGCCCGAAATATAACAAGATTTAAGACCTGCTTTTCAAGAGTAATTATATCTTTGCAGGCAACATGAACTCGCTCTTCCAGCAGTTTTAGTGCAAGACAAACAAAGATGCTATGTGCATTTTGACGAGCTGTTCCTTCTCTAAATGCTTTTTCCACCTGAAAGATTGACATTCACAATCAGACAGAGAATACTTATATTACAGTCACACACAACATGCATACTAAGAAATCTGCCAGCAATGCGCACACACACACATAGTGAGTAGTTTTACAGCATCATGCCAACATAACTCCGAACTCCAAAAATCTAAGCATCTCTGCTATGAAGACATTGTGTGCAACGTGCAGCCACACTCACTTTCTTTTGCCTTTTTTCCTCTTGTTGGCCAAGACTACAACCTAACATTGAATCTTTAACCCTCTCCCTACCGTAGTTTCTCCAAGGAAAACACAACTTTTAAATACCATTTCCTCAATAGTTAAATAAAAAGGTTTAAATAGTAACAATACCGAACTATTGTGATTGCATTCCCTAGGCACCATTGACAACACCACTATTTGACATCATTCCTAGCATAGAAAATATAATTTCTCTCTTACTTTCCACATTGCACCCAGATGTCTTATAGACCGAATTGTATACTACCTAACTGAGGTTTAAGAATACAATATGGTATATGAAGGATCTTAATTTATGTTAACACAGGTAAACAAACAAAGGAGCTGAGTTTATATAATGAACAACGATAAACTTAACACACAACAACATCAGCAGACTGAACATGCCTGTTCCTTGAAAATAACAGTTGCAGCATCTAGTAGAAATTCTCGAGCAAGTTCAGGACTCTTCGCATGTTTTTGCGGACGGGAGCATTCTCCATCCAGTTCATTTCCATCTTTGTCCATAGAATCATCATCCTGAAAAACACATTAAATAACAACACTTCTTTAGGTCTAACCCCGTAAGATATAATATAAATCTCAACTGTTTCTGGAGAACTGAGAACATAAATAATAACACTAAGCCTTTAGGGATCTTAACTACCTCTTCTTCCTCTGCCTCTTCAGCATGCTCAAAAAATCTTCTAATACTTTCTCCTCTTGTGATTGTTACATAGCCATCTCCGACAATAAGCCTACAGTGAACACATTCTTGACCCTTCAATGCATGAGCTTTTACAGAAAGCTCGGTGCAACGGCCATCTAGTTTCCAAGCCCTCAGGGTAATGTAGCATGCACTTAAACCACCGAGATCTAGACCATTGACCTTCACACTTCCATTCATGCCAACATTTTCAAATTCCAGAATATCTGATTTTCCCTCGCCTGTTCCAACTGCCCACTCAAAATGATGGTATGTACCAACAGTGTCGGCAAAAGTATGGCGCCAATCAGCTTGTACTGAGGCATCAGATACCTGTAATGACAGCAAAAAAGAGATTAAAACGACAGTCGCATCATCCGTACTTATAAAAAATGGTTCAACTATCAAAAAAAAATTCTCACTAGTCTGCTCTTGAAAAACTTGAGAACACAAAAATCACAACAAAAACCAGAGAAAAGAACAAAATTAAAGAAACATATGAGGCCACACCTCATACTGAAATGCGGTGTCTGCAACACAAAACCAATTAGTGCAGCGAGGTTCCCTCCTCAAGCGCTTCAGCTCCTTTAGCTCCTTGAACTCACGAATCACATTCCTTCTGCAATCTCTGCAAAATCTCTT